GGGGGGGGGGGAACAAACCTTTCTTTGGCAAATAAAAACCGTTGTACACGTGCGTACAACGTTAGGGGGCCCGTTGTACACGATGTACGCACAAGTACATCGCGTACATAGAGATGCCTAGCTGCCTCCCACCTCCAGTTATGGACAGGTACCCACAGCCTATGTGTCAGTCTGTAGTCCCTAACATCCTATCCGTAGGAAGAGCGTCAGATCCAGTAGTTACTTCTGGATTTTTTTTCCCCCTCCACATCTATTCAGAGGGAAACAGACTGCAGTTTTATTCCCATGAATAAAAGAGACACGCAAATGGGGCCAAAAAAAAAAAACGAAAACAAAAAACAGATTTGTTCCCTCAGCTGCTCGGTCAGTTACCCAAACGCTGAAAGGACGAGTACAGTATCTCACCATTTGTGACACACATGCCGTCATCCGGTTTCCCAGAGGATCAGAGGGCGGTGAAATAAGCTCGGGTCAATTCAACCACTAGTGCAACACTTCATTCTTACTCCATTCGACCCCTTTAGAAGGAATTAAGGGGTGGCCAGGATGGACATTGCTACACACTAACAATAGCCTTCAGAAAGGGCTGTGTGCCTTCTCTGGACGTGGAAGGCTGGAATACATGGAAAAGTATCTTTCCACAGGCCATGGGGAGGCCTTGGCTCGTTTCAGATGAACCCTCTGTCTGCTTTATCAGAGGCCTCCCCGCGGGACAGGCAAACAGCAGGCCAGTTTAAGGAAGAGGATCTGCTGGTTCTACGTTCATGCCGGAGCTTGCATGATCCTGGGCCCCAGAACGACCACAGATTCATGCTCAATTAGCAAGAACATAGACAGGCACTGGCCCTGGTACAGTAAAAGAGGCACAGTCTAAAGAATGACCAGGCCCTGGTACAGGAACAGAGGCTCACTTTGAGGACCAGGACCAGGACCAGGATCTGCTGTGTTTAACGTTCATGCCGGAGCGTGTATGATCCTGGCCCCAAAGACCATAGACAGGCACTGGGCCAGGAAAAGAGGCCCATTCTAAAGAATGAACAGGGCCCTCAGTGTTGTGTTCATGATCAGAAAGCATGATCCTGATCGCACAGATGTGCAGGTCCATGCCTCCTTGGCACTGACCTAGTGCACCAGCAGGGCATGAACCAGTTCTGTTCTGAACAGCCAGGTATCTTCCTGCCCCAAGCTCAGCTCAGTACCTGCTGTTCCTGCAAAGGTCACAGCTCAGTGGAGTGCCCGATGACCTAACAAAATACACTGCGGCCATACTTAAATTTAGACGTTTCCAGCTGAATCTGGTCATGCTTCTATGTGAGTGCATCCACAAAAGAGCTAGTGTGAGTACACCCGGAGAACTGAAGTGCTGAATGATAGCAGCTGATTACGGAAAATGTAAATGCTAATTTGCTAAATGCTGAGTACGGAAGTTTGTCATAACGTACGCATACACAATTGAGAAAAATTATTAAAAAATATATACCCAGGGCGGCTTTGGGTACACAAGAAACGGGTTCAAACACAGAATAACAGTGATCGTACAGGACCTGCAGATAATTTGTGATTCATGTTCCCCTCCGCTCCTTTATTACTCAACTACAACATCTTCTTCTTCTTCTTCTTCTTCTGCCTGCTCCTCCTTTTGCCTACACCTGGCCATGATCTCAGCAAACACCTTTCCCTTTTCTCCTCCTCCCCGTCCTCCTCCTCCTCCACATACTCGTTGTTGTTTGTTGTTGTTGTTGTTGTCGTTGTGTTGTTGGTGTTCCCCCTCATCCTCATACCTACGACATTTGCGGGTTGGAAATCAGGAACCGAACAGTCTTGATGTAACTCACCTCCTGCTTGGGCATGTACACGCGTCCCACTTTACCATCCAGGAAGTCGTCACCCACATTCTTCACCTGCAAACGAGATTGTGATGCACAAGGAACACAAAGACAGACCAGCCACTGAACTCAGATATAATGTATTAAATTCAGTTGGGTGCAAGTGCATGGACAACAGTGAATTGTTTCACCTTTGCGAGTGTGAAGATTGACCCAACACCTCCTGTGCACAGGCGAGAGAGTGAGATGGGTCATTTTGTCATGAAGGACAGAGTGAAATAGAGATGCCACAGAAAAGCAACCAGACGAACCTGAAAGACGATAACTCGGTAATCAATCCCTTTGACTAACGTGTTCACCCGAACAGAATGTCGGGTTATTATAGCTGTATTTGAGGCAACTTCCCATCTAAATATAGCAACTACGACCGGCCATTAAATCTAGGGCACGATTGCCAAGTACCAGATTAGCCTCAGGTTCTCTCTCTTAAACCACCACCCTACCCGCCACCGAAAAAGTGGCATTCCGGTGAGTTCGGGCAGGTCTTTAGGCGGGGCGCCGACCGGGAGGCGCAGGCGGGTCCAGTTCAGGTGAAAGACTGCAGAGCATTCTGAAAACTTTTTTTTTATAAACAATGGCGCGTCGATTTGTCTCATTCTTGATTTTTGCCACTCTGCTACTTGTGGGCCAACGGGGAACGTACCCCAATTTCAGCAATTTTTCAAGCTCAGAAGAATTCATAAAATCTGAAAATTGGTGGGTCCATACATTTGATCGTGATCTTTCCGCGGGGGGGGGGGGGGGGGGGGGGGGAAATCATTTTAACCACGAAATAAGTGGTGGTGGCAATTTGTTGGATTTTTCATTTTTGGGCCTCTGCTGTGACCAGAGTTCGCAACTGGGGTTTTTAGGAATACCTGTACCTGACCTAACCACACCCTCTTTGAAAGCTAACCACCCATACCCACTGTATACCTGGCCTGCCAGACCTTTACCCATCTCCACCTGCGAAAAAAAAAAAAAAAAGTATACCCAGACCTACCCTACCTGAACTTCGTCAGCATGTGCTACAAAAAAAAATCGTTTTAACCACGAAAAAAAAAACGTTTTAACTTTTAAGTTTTAACCATGAAATAAGTGGTGGCGGCAATTTGTCGGATTTTTCATTTTTGGGCCTCTGCCAGCAGTGTCCGGGACTCTACACTATGCTACCAGTAGCCCTCGTGAACATGTGCTACCGGTCCCCTGACTTTCACAACATCGGGTAGAGTGGTGGTTTAATGACAACCTGTCCAGTAATGCCAATAGGTCTCACAGTCAAACAAACTTGACTTCTCCGCGGTTCGCTATGAAACCGTGAAAACCCCGAGTGGTTCCAACATTGATGTGTGTCCCAACCGATTCCGGGTGTGGCTCCATCACTCACAGTGGCAGGCTTCAGTATCCCCTTCCGGTTTCTGTGCATCGTGAAATGAATAAAAATTCGATGGAACAATTTGTACTTCAGCCGCACTCAACATGGCACTTTCCATGGAAGTCCAGTGCCGTTCTCTGGCGCCAATGACAATAAAATCAATGGAAGTGAAAGGGTTTTGGGGTTGAGAATCGTTGTCCTTCGGCAGACACTCATAGATTCTCGCAATATAAAATGTTTATTGCCGGTCAATGGGACCGCTGGAGAATGATCACTCTGATTCTTTGGGGCTCTCGCTCCACTAGACAACATTCGAGTCTAAAGGTTTCCGGACTGGCTTGGGACTAATCCAGCTACCTTGGGACTGAACCAACATTTCAAAATTCAAACGTACCTGGACGATGCTGTGCAGAGCACCGAGGCCCCTCGAACCACCACGACCCTTTACGACCACCCTGGTTGGTTCCCATGAGGCTAAGAGGCTGCCCTCCCTTTTCCAGTCCATCTGTTACATTTGTGATCTGGCATGCACAGTTGTTTCCCCCCTTTTTTCCCCCTCTGCAGGGGTTGAGCTGATTTTTCAGGAGACGGTGGTGGATATAGCTTTCAGAAGCCACAAAGGTCACCTTCCCCATCGTCAAGATATTCGCTCGGTATCAACGATCTCCTGTTCGACAAGCCATCACAGAGACTGCAAACGAGGACCTTTGTTTCGCTGGTCAAACAAGAAGATGAACTGCACCTGCTTGAAAGGAAAAAAAAAAAAAAAAAGGAAAAGAGAAGGAAGCTTCAACTGCAGGCATTCGTCAGGCGCAGACACCAAAGAGGCTTGATGCAAAGACTCCTGACTCCTTATCATGGATCTATCCACACGCATCCACAACACTGCATACCGAACCATCGGATAATCCCTTTGCAACAGTAATTCCATCTCAACTCACGTTAGTTTTGTATTGGTTTATATCATACATGCAAGTGCGCATCGTCCGCTGATTCACGGGACTGATGGCACTCAAGCGGACCCCGACTGCGCGGCGCACAAGAGCCCAGGCCAAACCCCCAAAAAAAACAACGTGGGTGTCGATTCGTCCCTGTGCAAAAATGGTGTTGGCGCCAAGGCTGGGCCGGCAACCGGCTGGTTGAGCTCTCCCCATCCAACTGCAGCTGGATTTTTTTTTTGGCAGATTCTGACTGCGCTCTTCGAGGCCCCACAAGCTGAATGAGATATGATGAGAGCAGGTCCCTGCCAAAACTTATAGCTCTTCCAGAGCATAGCTCGACAGCACAAAAGTTATGGGTTCAGGTTTCAGCTCGTGCAGGCAGAGCGTTTTCTGTTTGTTTCTTTCTACATAAGGTGGGTCATCAGTCCGTATCTTGCCTTGCACACTGTCCAGATACATGTAGTGCAGTGAGGTCCGTTCTACATAGATTGAAAGAAGAATATAGCTAATAGGTCCATTCTTGGGAGTCCACCTCGGGCAGCTGTGACTTCACGATTCCGAAACCCGAACCCACGACTTCCCCAGAGCGTAGGGGTGTTGCAGAAGTATATAAGCTCAGCAGAGCCACACCATACGCATAGTGATTCCCTCGTGCCTGAGGGTGAACGAGCATCAGGTGTTGCCAGAAGATGCCAAATTGGAAAACGGGCCTGTTGGACCCCCATCTTCAGAAAAATGTGCAGCGGTTTTCTGCCACAGATCTGCGAAGATCAGTGGAGGAGATCCTCCGCCCGTTTATCTCAAGAAATGTGGTTTAAGATGCCCCAAACTTTTTTTAAAGAGGCAGCGGCCTCCTGGGGGCTGGGCAATCACGGAGATGCCCGTGACTCCCCAGTACCCCCCCAGCATAATGCGCTGGACTCAACCGTGTCCCGGTCAGGGGAGAAGCCCCCGGTCCAACCGGGAACCAGCCCTGGTTGGGGCCCAAGAACACTTTTAGCGGTCCGCGGTCAAGTGCAGCCCTTTTTGGTTGTAGGTCGAGACAGGAGGGGCTTCGGGGGGCCGTTTCTTGGTCTTCGTAGGTCGAAACTGGAAGGGCTTCAGGAGGCCGTTCTTTTGCCATCGGTGCAGGTCGCCTCCAGTCCAATTCGAGGAAGCAGCGCCGTCAGTCGCCCTCTACAAGCAGCGCCAACCTCCCCCTGTGTTCGCACCATCTGAGTTCCGGAGCGACCATCACCAACTTCAATCATCCTTGAAGGTGAGTCTTCACCAGCACTCCTGCCCTCCCTCGAACTCACCTCCTCCTCCTCTCCTCCTCGTCGTTTATCTCTCCTCCTCCTCGTCACAGTGTCATCCTTTCTTTCTTTTCCCATAGTATGCAAAGTTGGAACCTCGCCTCCTCGTCGCGTCCTCCTCATCTCTCCTCGTCTTCGTCACTTCCTCCTCCGCGTCATCTCCTCCTCCATCTCTCATCATCCTCGCCTCCTCCTGAATCTCTTCTCCTCCTCTGCCGTCACTTCCTCCTCCATCCCTCCTCGTCAAGGTCTCATCACCTTTTCCTATGATAACTTCGTGTAGCATTGGTATCTCCTCCTCTTCCGTTCCTCCTGCATCTTTCCTCCTCCATATCTGGCCATCTCCATCTTTCCTCCTCCATCTCTCCATCTGTCCTCCTCCATCTCTCCTCCTCCACCGGTATCTCTCCTCCTCCACCTCTCATCCTCCTTGTCATGGCTTCATCACTACTTTTTTCATGGGAGCTCCGAAGTTTGAACTGTCATGGTATCTCCTCCTTAGGTCTCCTCCTCCTCTCCTCCTCCTCCCCTCCTCCTCTCCTCCTCCTCACCTCCTCCTCACCTCCTCCTCCTCAATCTCTCCTCCAACCCTCCTCGTCCATCTTTCCTCCTCCATCTCTCCATCTCTCCTCCTCCACCTCTTATCCTTCTTGTCACGACGTCGTCACTTTCCTTTTTCATGGGAACTTTGAAGTCCGAACTAGCATGGTAGCCTCCTTATCTCGTTGTCCTTCTCCTCGTCTACTCCTCCTCATCCATCTCTCCTCCTCTCCTCCTCGTCAATCTTTCCTCCATCTCTCCTCTCTCCTCCTCCAACTCTTATCCTTCTTGTCACGACTTCGTCACTTTTCTTTTTCATGGGAACTTTGTGAAGTCCGAAGCGGCATGGTATCTCCTCCTCCTTATCACGTCGTCCTCCTCCTCCTCCATCTAGTCCTCATCAGGGCTTTGTCGTCGCTTTTTTTTTTATAAATGGAAACTCTCAAGTTTGAACATTGTCGGTATCTCCTCCTCCTCTGCCTCGTCATCTCCTCCTCAATCTTTCCTCCTCGTAACCTCCTCCTCCACCTCCTTGTTGTCACCTCCTCCTCCATCTTTGTGACCTCCTCCTCT